GTGGCTTCTTCTCTGATGAATTTGCTATCTTTTTCTTCGAGTGTTAATTTTCTGCTAATTTTACCACCTATTTTCTTAAGGAGCTTATCAGTACACATTGATAGTCCGAGAAATCCTGGTTCAAGGCGACAATTAATTTTCTGCGATCCTACTTTAGCTTTGACTATTTTCATGGTACGTTATATTATGTGATATATATTTGACCGAAAAAATAACTAACAATTAATTATCCATTTCTTGCTAGTGGGTGCAATTGTTTATAACCCACGATGAATGATTAGGAATAAAATCGATATTATGTGTTTCGACACTAGCTCCGCTATTATCTTGTATCATTCCACTTATAACCCGGAGAGGTACATCCACTGCTTCAGAATCACTAGATTCAAACTCTGTTTCAGAATCACTAGATTCGGACTCCGTCTCAGAATAATCTGAATCGTAATATTAGTTTAGATCAATAAGGTTATTCTCCATATTTTGGTCAGAAAACTCAATTAATATAACTTCCCCATCTGAATTAATTGCAGAAAATTTAGGAAATAATAATTCGTAGAATGTATATAATGAAGAAGACAGAATATCAATACTATTTCTTGCGTAATATATTCTTTTTTCCTCATTAGATTCCCAATATCTCCATCACATCCATCAATCCTATTTCTCAACCTTGTTAGCCACGTGCTTCCTAAAACCAAATCATATTCGAACTTGTCAACAACTAAGAAATGTTCATATGAATTTCCTAAATATGAGGATAGTCCCAAATCGGCCAAAGGCTGGCTCACGTAGTGATTGTACTCGGATCAAGTATTACTCGGGTTACTCACGAGTAATCAGATAACCGGGTAATGACTACAGCTACTCGGGTAGGTATACCCGGGTAATACCCGGGTAGGTACACCCAAGTTATACCCAAATAATACCTAGGTAAGAATACTTTCATTGAATATATGCAGAGATTATACCCAGGTTGGGTATTACCCAAGTTAACTGGTTACAGCTGTTTTCATAATTTCTAAAACACCTGATAAAATTTTGCCGAATGGTTTTTTGGCCGATCCGGTTAAGTTATTGATTTCGGCATGATCAATAAATTACAATTTATGTTATATACATATAAATTACATTGTAATTTGAAATATATAAATATTCGCACAGACTAAACACACTATAGCACTAAACATGTTGGGCAAGTTTTTAAACAAATTTAGTAATATTGAATGTGCCGACATTTTATAATGCTAAAATTTTATTGTAGAAAAGTATCATATATAATGCGTATGTCTTTTATATATACGTAGGGATATAGAGATATATCAGTATATAGGGTGGAGATTTGCGTGTAAATTTCTGATATGTAATTTTTGTTATGTAAATAACGTTGACCAGAACTGGCACACAAAGTTGGCAAAATTTTTGTAATGCAGGTTAATAATCATGTGCCACTGCATTATTTAATGTGTATGTACGTACGTACGTACAGTACGTATAATTTGTAATTTTATTGAATTTATAATAACTTAACCGGAACGGCCGAAAAATCATTCGGCAGATTTTTTATCAGGTGTTTCAGAAATTGAGCTACCCGGGTAGATTCACCAACAAATGTAAGATTTGATTGGCTACAATAATTCATGTAACCAATCACATGACAACTTACTCGGGTATAACGAGTAAGATTTTATACTCGGGTATATCTATTGATTACCTGAGTAACCCGTGGGTTTACTCGCCGGTTAACCGAGTAACGTTTTTTTGGCCGAGTACAAACACTAGGTTAAGGTAGTGATGTGCATCAATATGATTAAAGCCAAATTTATTACCGTTATCGTATCGTTATTTTATTTTCAAAAAAAAAAAAAAAAATCTTTATTATGTACTATATATTACGTTTATTAAAATTATAATTTAATATATACAAAATTATAAAAATATTCAATTTGGGACATTCAAAACAATCAAATTTATTATAGTCAAAATTTAGTAATTATCAATGTCAATATTTGGATGTATAGTTAGTTCATCCGACTCTGCCTGTTCAATATCCATTTGGTCGTATTCTTGATCATCCTCAAGATCGATATCGTCCCGACCACCTCTAGGAACTTTCTGCAAATATTTTTCCTATAAAAACAATTACCAGAATAAGTACTAAATAATTCGCATTACTCAAATTTACATTCACGTAATAAATGAATACCTTAAGTAAATGGTCCACCACTAGTTTGAATTTTTTCTCTTCGGCTTCAACTTCCGATTCACTTGTTAAAGTATCTTCACATTGCTCTATGTACCATTGTACAAGATCTTCTTCGCGACACGCTATTTTAAATGAATGAAAGATAACTTAATTTCTATTCAATAATTACGGACATAAATGTATAGTTAAACATACTGCGATTTTCTGAAGACAATAATTTCGCAAGAATTGCATCTTGAATCCTAATGAGTTCTTCTCTCGTAATCCTCACTTCTTGACTTTGTTGATTCGTAATCCTTTCTTGACTCTCTTGATTCGTAATCATCGTTTCTTCACTCTCTTGATTCGTATCCATCATTTCTTGACCTCTCAATACAATGTCATCATGATAAACATGAATTATAGACTGTTGTATAAGTTTAGCTGCCTCGTTCACAAATTCCGGAATTACCTAATATAAAATAAATAAATCTTCATTTTTTTAAATAAAAATCCATTGCTACAATTCCAACCTACTTCGTTCTTACAATGAGCCCTTGCAATAGCTTCAGACAATCGTATCATACTTTCTAATTGTCTAACCGTGATACGATAGGAATTTTGTGCTGCGCCGGAGGCATCATCTTGACGGAGTTGTTTATATTTTTCAACTAACAATCTTTTAGAATCTTGAGAAATCTTTTCAAAAAAAAAAAAAAAAAAATTTAAAATATGGCATCATGATAAATATGCGTTTACTAATTTCCCCCAAGTTTCGTTTTCGACCAATCAGAAAGCAAGATCAAGTGTAATGTGACGATCAAAACAAACAATCACTCTTACTAACAAAAAAAAGATTCCTTGCAAAATTTTAGCCCAATAACACTAACGCCAAACCCTAGCTGAGTGTCACATTTTAAACGGAAGGAGACATGTAAATTGGTGCGAATAATCCCAACCAATAGAAACTTGGGGAAATTAGTAAATGCGATAAAAATTTGTACACTGTATGCTACAAACCTTCGGTTTGAAAGTTCTTGCATAACGAATATATCGTTGAAGCGTTTCAGTATCGTAGGGTGGATTAATATTGTCATCGCCTCTTCTGTGAATTCCTACAATATGCTCGGCTATCATCTGATCTATATCCGGTCTGCATTCGTCTAGTACCACAAAAAATAGATCAAATCGGGACATGATTGGCGCTGACATAGAAATATTTCGCTAATAAAATAAAATAAAAAAATTAGCTTGAACTAACCCTAAATAGCATTAAAAAAAATATATATATCAACTTTGCACATTACTCTAAGTGATAGTCTTTTATTATATCGGCCACCATTCGGATTTGCTGCCGCTAAAATTGAAGTTCGAGCATTCAATGTCGCATGAATTCCAGCTTTTGCGATAGAGATTGTCTGCTGCTCCATAGCTTCATGAATGGCAACTTGATCAGAAATATCCATTTTATCAAATTCGTCAATAGCGCAGATCCCCTAATTGAATGAAAATGCATATAATTATTTGTGATATCGATAATACAATCATTGAAATATTATATTACTTACGTTATCCGCTAGCATTAAAGCACCCGCTTCTATGGTAAAATCACCAGACTCTTCGTCTTTGACGACAGCTGCGGTCAAACCGGCAGCAGATGAGGCTTTCCCGGAAGTAAATATAGCACGAGGATGTATCTGACATGCATATCTAAATAATTTTAGATAATAAAAGTTACAAATTTGACTGTATAAAAAAATCGAATCATGGTAAATATGTATAATTACTTGAGGAACTGGCTCTTGCTAGTACTAGGATCTCCGACTATACAAACATTAATATCCCCCCTGAGATTCATACCCTCTGCGGTTTCTTTGTGAACACCCCCTAGAAGCTGAAGTAATACGCCTTTTTTTATTATTTCGTGTCCTAGATTTTAAAACAAGTAAATCAACTACTAATATACTAATTAATTCGCATAAACTAAATAAACTGTAATATAAATTTATTACCAAAAACGCTTGGCGCGATACTTTTGACTAGTTTATCGAAAATTCTTTCATCTCTGCTCATCTCATCCAAAAGCTCTTTCTCCATCCCTTTCATAGACTTAACAAATGCTTCATAATCATTTTCAATTTCGTCCACTTCCGTTAGTCTATTATAAGCATCACGCTATTTTTTTCAAGATAACGAATGTTAAAAACGCTTAAGTCAGAATAAAAACCATCAGTTTGATTAAAGAAATTATCTTACCTTTGCGTCAACAGTATGAACTGTACATGCCAAAAAAGATATTTTATATGATAAATCTCTAGCACCAAGAGATTTTAGACCCGTGACTCCAGAATTAGCTAATCCATCAGCCCCCTTGAAACGACTGTTACGAATATCACGTTGAACTTCAGCTCCAACACCTGAAAATAAATACATCCAAATATTAAACAAAAAATTTCTTCACGAAACATCTAATGAGATTATGTGATTATAGCATACCTGGAACTCCCAATTGATGGATATCTGGAATAACAAGAGGTGTACCCGTAAAAATGCACTTGTTTCCGGGTTTTGCGCCTTCAACCATTTCATGACGAAGAATAACTTCAAGACTTTTATATCATTTAATGATAAGAGGTAAAGTTGTAATAATTATAAAATTTAAATGATTTTAAATGACAAATTTGGTTCAAATAATAACTCACGTTCTAGGCATGCTTCCTGTAGGTATTTCATTTGGATTTTCCTGAATCCGAACTCTTTGCCAATCTGTAAACTTGGATTCTTCGATTTTAAGTACCCATGAATCTCTGTTAGAACATGTTGGTGTTTGACACATGGCCGGCTTTATAAAGAAATATTCATGAATGCAAAGAACCTATTTAAAAAATCTTGTAACAACAAAAAAGTAAATTTGATACATTACCTCCGTATAACTAAATTGTTGTTCAACATTCTCAACTTCGACCTTACATTCTTGACAAACAAATTTTCCATAAAGTAATTCAGGTCGAACCTCACTTGTTCTTGTTACTGTACCACATATACTCATTAAGGTCCCTATCTTGTCAGTTTTTAAGTCTCGGATGCGATTTTGAGAAGGAAGATTAAAAAAGGCCACAGAATAATCTAAGGAGTATGATTTCTCCAGTGTCACAAACTCCTGATCTTGCGCATTTTCATCTTGCGCGTAACCATTCTGATCAAAGAATCCAGTCTCTCGATTGCCAATACCAGATTTTTTACTTTGATCAGGAAAATATATCTCCATGAGACGTTCAACTGCCCTTCGGAGATATGGCTCAAGCCTTTATAAATTTTATTACCTAAATGAGTATCAAGTGTGACGCGACTTTCACGTGTCAAAAAAAAATTAAATTTGATTATTACTCCATGCATACCTGTAATATTGTTGAGAAATGGCTTTTGATAGAGAATCCGATTGCTTATAATGCATTATATGCTTAAAATCTACGTATAATATACGTTTTCCTGTCCTTGATAAATATCGTAATTGTTCTAAATATGGTCGAATTTCATCATTATCTCCTTCGTAAAATCTGATATATAAATTGAAAACCAAATTTAAATAAGGTTAAAACGCGTCTAAACTTCTATTAAACTATAGTGACACTATAAAAAATTTCCATAATAGTATAATTTAATTATTATTTGACGTACTCTTCGCAGAAATCCATAAAGATACATCCATATTCTGACGCAAATTCATCTTGCGCTTTTTGTATGCTACCCAAAAACTTTTTTTTTTTATGTGGACCTTTTTTTGTTCCTACTTCCTCGGCCTCACTATGTCTGTCGTAACTATCTAAATTCATAGTTTCGTTTTTAAGAATGTACTTAGTCAGACGCGTTTTTTTTTTTTTGTTGAAATTAAGTTTATATATATATTAAAAGACGTTTATATTAGGAAATAAAAAACGTGTACGTATCGAATATTATTAGATTTTTAGGGGTTATCATTATCTTTTCACGAAATGTATAACCAATAAATATTTAGATCTGTGTGTAACGTAGATGTAGAACATGATGCAATTAGGAATGTTAAAGTTATACTTATTACTGTATTATCAATTTAAAAAGTAAAATGCTAAATTTTTATACTGTATATAAAATTTCTAAAAATTTAGTTTATAAAATATTTAGCTTTTTATACTCTAATAAAAAGATTTTTCTATTATAAGATTGATATAAATTTTAAGAAAATAATTAGAAATCACCACTAGGGTTCTAACTATAGATGCTAGTGAAATAGTGTTTCGCACGGACCGAAATCGGGCGAATATTTTTAAAGATTCGGATTCAATCCGAAGTACGAATCGAATCCAAGTTAGGATTCAGAACCATATCGTGTAGATCTCTTTTCGGCTTAGGTCACTAAATTTTATCGATATATAGTTAATCCTCTAAGCACGAACTTCCTATAAGTGTTAAATTAAATTGCATTATCTTCTGGCGGATTGACGGAATTGGACCTTTATTTAGATACTCCAAATTTGATTTAAAAACCTGTAAGTAAATATTTGACTCAATATTTGTCCAATCAATTTCAAGATCAGGCTGATCTTGAGTCAAAATCATACAAAATCTTGAGTCAAATATTTACTTACAGGTTTTTAAATCAAATTTGGAGTATCTAAATAAAGGTCTAATTCCGCCAATCCGCCAAAATTATTCTATTTAAGTGTAACTACTTTGAAAATCCAATATAAATTTAATATACCCGTAAAATCTCGAAATAGTGTTATGAAAATGGAGAAACAAAAATTCAGCAGATCGGCCCGAATTATGGGTCGGATTTAGGGTTGTGTTACAATCTTACAATTAGTGTTCCGCATGAATCGGACCGGGCGGATATTTTTAAAGATCCGGATCCGGTCCGAAGAACGAATCGGATCCAAAACTTGGATCCGGTCCGGTATTTCTAAACATTTTGACCAATCAGAA